TTTCCCTGCAGACTTAGTCTTAATCGTCTTCTTAATAATTCTTAAACCCTTCGTCTTCTACTTGAAGACAAAATTCAACAATAAAGATTAACATGAACTGAGGTTTTTTCCACTCTTTATTTTAAACTATGCACCTTTTTGTCGCCCACATCAGAAAAGGATATGATACAGTGATTAATTTGAATTAATCAAATATAAAAGAATAATGCTTAGCTACTAAAAGAAAGCAACAATTTTTTCTGAAAATCCAATCACTAGTCTAAATAATTGAAATTAGAAACTATGAGAAAAAAAACACCACTATTCCAAATGACTAGGCCAAGAACCAAGGCTCGACCTCTAAGGCTCAATCCGGATTTCAGAATGTGTTGGGAGGTCGAAGAAGAGCTTTGATGTGAGGAAGTCAGATAGAGGTGGTTGTGTGGGGAGGACATCTATGAGAGATTACTTCTTAGCAGGTTGTTGATATTTTTTTCGGGTCCTTTGGAGTGATGTTGGTTCAAGTTTTAATTCTTTAATTGTTTAGACACATATTCCTTTGTAATTGGACACTTGTTCATTTCAGAAGTACTTCCTACTTTTTTTTTTCAGCAGCCAAACACTATACCATAAAAAATAGAGGTATTCATCAATTTCCCCCCTGAACTTGTGACCATTAGCCAATTTCCCCCCTCAACTTTAATTTTGGCCACTCTTCCCCCTTAACTCTCATAATTAGTCAATTTCCCCCCTCAACTTTAATTTAGCCAATTTCCCCCCTCAACTCTTATAATTAGTCAATTTGCACCCTACTGTTAATTTTTTAATTTGATCATAATTAAATAAGTGTGTGTAAGAAACTAAATAAGATGTATGTTACTCATGTTCCTATATCTTTATCCTATTACAAATAGATTAAAATTTAGAATTTTACAATTTATCATAGATAGTATTATTAGTCATAATAAATCAGCATGGAGTAATTTTATTTGATTTTTTACCATACAAAATTGATAACGAAAAGGATTGATGTGTAAATTTTTGTATGTGAATACAATTTTCTTTATAAAAGTGAAAGCTAAGTTCAAGTAAATTGCGGAGAATCGAGCTTTAGTGAAAAAATGGCTAGTCTATTCATAATTTTCAACTCCTTATTAAGAATAACCCATTTATTGAAATAGGTCTAATCCATGAGTTTAGGATTATTATTTCTTTTTGTTATTATTTCTTCTTCTACATGCTTTAAACCCGATTCATAACTTTTTCTTATAATCAACCCATATCACATACTATCTGTATTATGTTTTTGTACATTTTACCCTATATTATGCAGGTGAGTTTATGTTAATTTTAGTACTTTGTTGGAAGTTATTAGAAAGATTGAAAATTAAGAAAAGAATAGATGGAAAATTTAAAAAAAAAAAAAATTAACTGTAGGGTGCAAATTGACTAATTTTGAGAGTTGAGGGGGGAAATTGGCCAAATTAAAGTTGAGGTGGGGGGGAATTGACTAATTATGAGAGTTGAGGGGGGAAATTGGCCAATGGTCACAAGTTCAGGGAGAAATTGATGAATACCTCTAAAAAATAAGGAAAACTAATGAAAAGAGTTTGAAAACTTTGAGTTTTAACGATAAAGACAAAATAAAGAGTAAAGTGAATAGTACCAAGTTTGACTTTTTAGTGTAAAAATGTGGTTTTTCATTAAAGTGAACAATACCACGGGCTTTTCGTTAAAACTTCCTAAAAAATAGTGTGTTCTTCGGTTGTTTTCATACATATTCAATAGTAGGATAACAAGGTAGAACTTGTATGACGGATTCATAGTAAAAGCGTGGACTGAACATCTTATATATTAAGATGTTTTTGTCCACGTATATTATATAGTGACACAACATGTTCATTCACGCATATAGAATGAATTTCATTTTTTTCAAGAAAAATATATAATTGCAGAAGATTAATTATTATTAACTAATAATTTGTGGAGTTAATGCAGTCCAGTCATTTTTCATGTAAACCTCTTGTGCTAATTTGCAGACGACATATACCTAATGCCAGTAACCTGCTACACTAAATTATTACATTTTGGCCTGCATTCTTATACATATTATATACACATGATGTTATACAATATTATATATATATATATATATATATATATGCGCAATGGAGAGTTATGTTTAACATACCACGTACGTATGGTATCACCATGAGTCATGATGAACGAACCAATATTAACAATTTCATATTATAAACATTTTATGTTGCAAAGCAATTCGCTGAAAGAAACATGTATATAGAAATATGTACCTGTTAAATCCAGTCGTGCTCAGAGTTTTTCTTATCACTTTGAACAATAATATACAAATTAAAACCAGAAGCATGAGCTACTGAAATTAGGGCACGATGTTGATTGTGATGACACAAAACTGATGTATGTTTTGTAATTGATTTACACAACTATATGGTGTAATCAGTATATGCTTACATACAACTGTAAGCTCCAAAAATGCACTGTTCGTTGCTTATTTTATATATATCATGTGGAGGAAGTTTCCTACAGCTTTCCTCACGAATGCGATGAGTAGCGTCGATCAGTTCAGCATGAAAAATTGTTTTCAATTATTATTTTAATTTGTTTTTGTATCTGCATGTCATCATTTAATTTGTGAGATTGTTCAAACTCGACTACATCTTAATTGGTCTCTAATGGTTAAACCACATATTGAAATACGCTTTACTTTTGAACTAAAAGTTTCAAAGTTATATGTGTATATATAATCATCTGGTGCATTAATCTAAAAGGGTTTGTTTCTATTTTGAAAGGGAACTGTTATTAACACTTCAAAAATCTCAATCTACACTTCTTACAAGTGTAACTTTCTTTCTAATTATAAAGAAAGTTTGAAATGTCAAATGAGATTTTTGGAGTGCCAATAACAATTGCCTTTTGAAAATATAGTTTTACTACGTACCATATTGTAACTCCAAGGGTCACTAAACCATAATAATTGATGTTTTATTATCGAATGTGTAAATTAGTTTAATGTTTTATATTGGTAGGTAGTTAATATTTTGGGGGTTTTGAGTGGAAATGGAAGTTAGACAAGTATAAATAAAACGAGAAAATCATGAGGGAATAGTTGAGTTATAATAGGGCATTTAGTTGCCATAATTGGGCGGATAATTAAAATGATTTAACATAATTAGGACATTGTGGCATAAGTTGTGCTAGCTCATTGTGAGGCTAAGCCCACCCCTCTCCACTAGTGTAAATAATATCGTTGGTTAAAAAAAAGGTTTCTTTTGTAAAAAAAGAGACCAATTGGTGGTTTCGACACAACAATCTACCCATTCAGGTGCAACTCATAGGGATATTTCAGCCTCCTCAAACCACTATCATGTGATTTAACAACACCAAATAATTAAACTCAAGACATGTCTGTGGAGCCAAAAATAATCACAAGGCGACACGTGGATTTTTGGTAAAAAGGACAAAGTTACTCCTGAGACACACTGGTTGTTTTACACACGAGCAGTGGACAATCATTCTTTAATCAAGCCAAGAGTGTCCAAAATAGGTAACAAATTCCAAATTATCTCATCCATCCTCATCTTAAGTAATTACTTCATAACCTACAAATTATTCCATATAAATGGAGATTAATTGGCTAATTAATGGATTAATTCCTAATTAAACCATTAATCACCAATTAAATCACCCATTTTCACACAAAAAACCTCTAAGGGCCGGCGACCTCCATTCCCTATAGATATGACCATATTTTCTCTAAAAAGCTAAGTCCACACTCTTGCTAAAATTTTCCAAAACTCTCAAACACTTTTCTTTCTAAATTCTAACTTTGGCATCGGAGGTTCTTCGGCCAAAGCACACCATCTCCCCTCCCCCCCCTGGGGCCTAATTTCATTGTGGGCGCGTGAGACTCTTGGCCTTGACCTAAGGTGTTATTTGTTTTGTAGGTGCAATTTTATCCAATATCAAGGAGGAAGAAATTTGTATCCACAATGTCGTGTGAGCCAAATCACTGAGTTCACCCGTAGTAATTACACGGACCAACATCTAAAAAACCCTAAATAATATACATGTAATGACTAATTTATCACCTTCCTTGTCTAATCTTATTTCATTATATTATTTTCTTATTCAACTTGCATGTGACATGTCAACCACTAGACACAAGAGTTTCACCACAACTCAAAAGAAAAAACATTTAAAAGCCCAAAAACTCAAGCCACATTAGATCCTAATTACTGGTCATTCTAAAACTCTAAACCTTTATTTCACATTCTAAATTTCAAAGGTAATCAACCACAACTTAACTAACTTTGTTAATCCCAAATTTACCAATTCCTGAAACCTAAATGCATTAAAAGTATTAAAATTCAAAATCTTGATTAATGTACTAGAACTCCAAATTTCACTCAAAGTATTTATATTACAATTCCACAATCATCGTACTAATTAAAACCCAATATATAATACTAATTTGACTCTGCACATAGTCTGAATCTAAGTAACTGCATAATAGAAACCGCACGGCAGTTTATGATTTCAACTTTCAAGTCTCTATCAAATTTTTAAGGATAGAAGAGTCATTTCCAACTATTACCAAAGATTATATTGATTTTTTTTCATTAAAAAATTTTATATTGATTTTACCTATATTTTCTTAAAAGTTATACAATAATTTCATTTTGACACACAAAAATAACACATACTTATGTGCTTTTTAATTCTCCCTTTTAACAACATAACTTTTAAGTGTAAGTCACTTGAGAACTGCGCATGCAATAATTTCTTTCAAGTAAAAAAAGCAAACATTAAGTGATGACTGTGTGACAATCACACCTACAATAGAGATGTGACAAAGAAAGACCCTCCCAAATTAAAGACAAATAGAATAAGGAAATAATATTAAATAATTAAGAAAACGCGTGTTCAATTAGCAGTAAACAAGAAGAATCCAGTTTCCGCCGGCTTAACAGAAAGTACTCTGAGCAAAGTTTTAAGATTTTTCCCCAACAACACCTTCAGTCCAAAGTTCCCAACCCTCTCATGACAATACCTATGCCTTGTGCTTGTTTCCTCTCGCCCCCTTCACCAACACCTCCTCTCTATAATTACAAACCCTAATTTCCGATATCCATATTACCTTCATTTATATCCAAGAAAACCAAAACTTGAAGGTTTTTTTTAGGATGGAATCCAACCATCCGGATCATCAAGATTCGAAGACCTCTAGTACTGATGAAGAAGCTGAACACCGACGGGATGTGAACGATGACATGGGCACAGGGCGGTCTTACGAGTGTGTGTTTTGCAAGAGAGGTTTCACAACGGCACAGGCCTTGGGAGGACACATGAATATTCACCGGAGAGAGAGAGCCAAGACCAGACCTAGTTCGGATCCTACTAATTTGGCTTCGTCGACTAGCAAGGCAGTAGAAGATCAGAGTAATCCGAGGGCAGCGGTATACCATGCAATTCAAAGCTACCCGCCACATTATTTTATAGCTCCTCCGGATGACCATATGAACTATAGAACATATGTGCCTGCACCTAATACATCAGGGGTGTTAAGGCCCCCACATGCAAATCATATTAGTGATGAGGACTTGTGTGCAAGAAATTATTTCCCGAGGCATCGGAATTTGCTAAGAGATGATCATCAGGATTGGAGATCAGGGAGTAGTTCGAGCTTGGGAATGGGCCGGCCATCAGATGATTACAAGGAGAGAGTGTTTAACGGTGGCAGTGAAGAAGCGGATGATGAATTGGATTTGGAGCTTCGACTCGGTCATGATCCCTAAGTATATATGTTATTTTTATCAAACATTTGAGAGATTATAAATTATACATTTTTATTAATTAATTTGTACACTACTTTTTGGTTGTGAGCGCAATTATGGATTTATCTGTACATTTTTCCATGTTTTCTGTTTTTTTTTTTTCATGGCGAAAACGTGAGAAGTTTTTAGAATATCCCAACATCCCAAATTTTCTTGGCAATTTTCTAATGACCGGCAGGATTTAAAGGCAGGAAGAAGGAGCAATTATACCCAGATATAGTAAAAAAAAATGTATTTTGCTTCATCCATAAACACACCTAGCCCTAATTTTTGGTAGGTTTCTGTGAGAAGTTTTCTTATAATGTATATGTCTTCTTCTTCCTTCCATTGTATCTGTTTCTTAGTTATCCCCCCTTTTATTTTTCACCTAGCTAGCTAGCCCAAGTTTTGCTTACAAATTATTGCTGCTGTACTTATATCATATTGTATGATTGAAATTTCTAATTATCCAGCATTACATAATTAATTTGCTTGAATTCTTGCTTCACTAACCTATATGTCAGTTATGTTTAATTGCTTTTTTTTTCCAAGAAAATGAATAGGTACAGGAAACTGTTAACACTAACTGGGGAAGCTTGCTTGATTCACTTTCAAGTGCTCTACATGAAGTTTTTCTTGTGCCATATGATCTGTGCCAAATGGTCCTGTGTACGTCTAAATCATCGCATACCATTGGTCATTGTACCTCCATTGTTCAACCCCAACTTGCCATTCACATTTCAGGTGAGCTCTGAGATTTTAGATTAAACTATATATTCTTTTTTGGTTACATTAGAGAGATTTGGAATCTGGAGTTAGGATTTTCGACCGTATATGAATTGATATATGAATTTTAGGTTGCACACATAAGCTTTGTGCCGAGGAAATTTGTTTCATACCGCAAATTCTTGGGGAAAAATATATTTTCTTGTAGTGTGATACATAAGTCTGAATAATTAATTGTCTAAGGTTTTCAACTCGATTTTAGTGTCACTCTGTATACCTATACAGTAACAAATTAATTTTCACTCTTAAGTTGTAGCTGTCACTCTCCTCTAATAAATTTGGCACTCTTTTAGATTGTCTGTAATATATCTCCACTTTTTTGATCATTTGGGAAAACGAGTGGCATATTTTGTGGGGCTTTGGGAACATTTTCCAAGGTTAACCTACAACGATGCAGCTTCTAACTTTTCATTACATGATAAAACAATCAGCAGCAGTACTAATTTACTCACTTATAAAGGAATCGTAAAACCAAGAATGAAAGATCCTTTATTTCATACAAATGATAGTGCCCACACGTACATAGAGATGAGAGTCGAACTTAGCTAAGACATTTGGTGCAGAAGTAAATGTTGTAATAATATTTTCTTGCATTTGGGTATATGTATATCTGCAGACCGCAGACTGCAGTAAGGATTAATTTGTGATATATCTGCAGACTGCAGTACTGTTTATATTCTTGATATATAATGGACACACAAATTAAAAACCGTAGGGGGAATGTAGGCTGAATATATATTAAACTATATAACAAAATATTATACGTACATAATCGGCTAAACGTATTAATACATATATATATATATATATATATATATGCGTGTGTGTGTGTGTAAGAGAAACCTGACTTGACCAAAGAACTAATATTTGAAGAATTTTCTGCATGCAGGCCATGGCCGCCATGGGACTACATGCAGTGAACGATTTCATGATGACTATGGAGCGGCTTTGACCCGCTCTTTCTTCAACAACAACCACAAGATCAACACATATCGTGCTAAAGAAGGCCGTTCAACCTGCAGCCCAGGGAATATCTTCTCAGAATGTGTTTTTCTAAATTGCTTTGATTTACAGTAAGGGAATTGTTATTGATACTTCAAAATTCTCATTCTACACTCCAAACTTTCTATATTTAGAAAAAAAAATACAGTTGTAAGGAGTGTAAAATGAGATTTTTGAACTGCCAATAACCTTCTCTTACTGTAATCGTATTTTGAATTTGTTTACAAATTTACGGTAATAGTGATTCGGATTTGGCTGCAAAACTCTTGTTAACTCACCTAACGGTCCTAACCCAATATCTTTTGAACACTTGTAAATTGCATTTTAAGGTTCTAAATTACTTTACCGCAAGGTTAAATGTTCCCGAGAGTTAACTTCATGCATGTAAACCTGTCATTGTACAAACAAAGGGAAGTCAATCAAGTGCATTTCAATATTCGATGAGAGGATTTTAAGGATTTTAAGCCCCCATTTTGTTCTTAAATTCAGGACGTTTAGAAGTCAAATAAAAGAAAAAAGAGTCAACTAAAAGAGGTTTGACGAGAGGATGCGAAAATGAAATCGTAAGAGGCTGATCGCCGTCGTCAACATTAGTGGTTCTCTTATTGTTCTGCGAGTCCACAACGGCGACAGCTTGTTCAAATCTTGTCTTTGAAAAAACTAGCCGCAATATTACTCGACTTAAAGACCGTACAACTGTAGAACCTAGGTGGAGCTTGAAGGACACAGCAACTGATTGAAACAGACTAGCCGGAACAAAGATTTATGCACTTAATTAGATCTGCAGCTAAACATAATTAGAAGATCGATAATCTTTATACAAACATACGAGAATATCTTTACAAGCAGAATTTAAACATCGGATCACGGCTAAGAGCAAGCATCTCCCATATTCAGCTTAGAACTAGCGGCTGTACCAAATCCATCATGGATTAATTACCTAGTGAGATAGTATATGACTAGAAAAATGACCACAAACGATGCGACTAGTGTAAACATTCTCTGGCTTGACTTGGTCTCAAAAACCTGAACAAAACGAAACCCGTCAGGACATCAGTAATCAGAAAGGGACCCTGAGAAGGATGAATGAGGGAAAGAACCCTCTAATCTCAGAAGGAAAAGGATCAATTTGGAAAGGAGTACGTACCATCTTAAACTTGTCCATTGTACCAGATAGCACTCCCCTCGATGAATCCATATCATTTCCCTGAATTAGACAATGCACGTTATTAAAACAACTTGTACCATTGTCCGACCAAAACAAATGTAAATTAAATTCTATGGTAGAGAACGCTGTAATAATAATTGGGCTAGCAGCAGCATACATACCATTCTGTCTAACATGTGATTATGAGTCTCCACCTCCTCATGTATATCACCTGACAACTGTTTGAGAGAAATGGATAAGTATTTGGCGGGGATATATTAAAACCTATGAAGCTATAAAAATACTGACATCAATTGCTATAAGATAATATTTTGTCAAATCTAGCTTATAAATGTTTAGTAACTTTGTTAAAAGAAAAGCCAAAGAATCATACAGACCCGTATTCCTAATCGAAGGATTTCATAGTTGCTTTATTTGTTCCCAATAAAGCAAAGGTAAGGATCAAGACGTTATGCAAGATTTCAACACATAATCATACTACAAATGCTACAATCTTCCTCCTCGAGGTATAAAAAAATTTGACGAAATCATGCACTGACTAGACAACAACACAAAATATTAATATCATGACTTAAAAACCATGTATATCAAAGGTAGTAAACAAACCGGAACAGTAAGACTTGCATTACAACTTTCAAGGTTTCCAGGCATTGAAAGACAAGGGAATGAGGGGTAAGGAGAGCAGAGCTTACTCTCTTCAGCAAATTGACTCTATCTTGCAATCCGTCCACTGCCCTTTCGTTATCATGTTCATCAATTTCATGTGAGTAGGAAGCTGAGGACCTGATGCCGCCCTCCTCAATGCCATCAAAAAGAGCAACTTTGTTGCCACGGAAGTCCCTAAACATAAAGAGATAAGTTCATTTTAATGTAAACGAAACATGCCACATTCATAAGAGATGTTTCCTACAAATGTAACATGGGAAAGCTCCACAAAATTTAACAGAATCCTTTTTTCGGGTGAAAAAATAACAAAAGCTTCGGTAACAAGCACCAGTAATCAAAGAGGTTGCAGTATCGAATCAATCAAACCCTTTTCTCATCAAATTATTGTTAAGACATCCCAAACAGGCAACTCCATGCCGAATGAAAGCTTACTCGAATACAAATCTCGTTTTACTTTGTACAACCGAAAGCAACTCGTACTCGAATCGGTCCAAAACAGCTTAAACATAACTCAACAGAAACACTGACTGAACCCGAAAACTAACCCAAAAATGATCACAGACCCAATTCCAAAACGGGTTTTCGAGTTCACGAAATTCTCAACGTTTATCACTCGGTTAGTAATCAGCACACACACCAAACATCAAAATCGCATAGCGAAAACCACACTACATACACAGATCTAAGTACAAATTTACTATTTACGTAACACAATCAGGTAAATTTGCTTCAGAACGTTCTAGAAAACAAAAAACTAAAACTTGAAAAGACCAAATGAATCGGATTCGTATCGGAATCGGAACCGAGCTAACCTTCGAGCATTCATGGGTGAATTCGATCCCGGCGAAGCTTATTTGATCTTTGAATTTGATTTACTGCAAACAAATTCAAATTTTTACAAAAATCTAAAAAAAATTGAAACCCAAAATTAAAATATGATACGAGCAGAGGAGAAGGGCGATTCAGATCTGAGATTGGGAGCAACGAAACGTACCGTTTTGGAGGGAAGCGGAGGATTTTTCCCTGCGGAGTAAGAAACGAGGGGAAAATTGGAGGGGCGGAGTGGAGTCGCTGGGATTTATATTCTGTAACAACTGATCTAGCGGGGGAAGGAAGGAACGTTACTTTTGTGGGTCCCATTTGGGTTGTGAGTAAGAATATTGGATAAGAAGTGGAATGTTTTTACTGTGCTGGGTCTTGTTGCAGTAAAAGGATTTTTTACTGTTCACAACGTGGCCGGTTACAAGTGCGTATCTATTTTGCATTCACGTGAGTTAAATTTAAAATTTATTCGATTAAATGTAAATGAAAACAATTATCAGGGTAAAGATCAGCTTAAATGGTTCGATGATTCTGGGGATGATAAGTTAATCTTCTTCAAAAGATCACATCGACGTAAATGATTGACAATTATATGTCGGTTTTTTGCCATTCAAGTTGTAGTATATTTTAATGGTTAAATTGTTCGACTGTTAAAATGATATGTGAGTTGGACGTACTTAAATAAAATTACAAAACATAAAGAAGAATTAACGGCTGATATTTTTGAGCACGTGACAAACATTTTAATGGACCGGGGATGCTTCAGCAACTAGTGGGCTGGGCTGGGCTGGGCTGATCTAAATAGGGTTCTTTTGACCCGGACACAGCCCATTCTATATAAAGTGAAAAATGTAAAAAACAAAAAAAAGGTGGGAACTTCATCGTCGTCTTCGATTGGCGGGCATCCGATTCTGGTCTGACTGTGACAAACAAAACCCTAATCCGAAAAAGGTAGGGCTTGTTGGAATTCGAATACCTCACATCTCAAGCTCAATGGGTTCATTGAATGATGACGCCGCCGCCACCACCGCCACCAGCTTCGAGTCCTCACCGGAGATGGTGAAGTTCCTATGCGACCGGTTGCTCGACACGACACAGCCCATCTCGGAGCGCTTCAGAGCCTTGTTCTCTCTCCGCAACCTCAATGGCCCTGCCCCTCGCGACGCCCTCATTGCCGGTTTGTTTTCTTTATTTGTCTGCAAGTATTTCTTGTTAATCATTATATTTGCGGAGCCAATTTGCTTGGAATTTCAGGACTTGTCTGGATTTTCAGTCTCTAGAAAAAGGTTAATTATTTTATGGATTGGTTAGAAATTTGGAAGTAGTTTGATTCTTAAAGCAAAAATTCACTATCTTTGAGCTGAAGTAAAAGTTTGGAACTTTGGAGCAAAGGGCTGGTAGCTCGGTTAGTTAAGAGCATTCATCCGTGCACCCATGGTCTTGGATTTGCTTTGCCCCCTCCCCCGCATGTATTACAAGAAAAAGTTTAGGACTTTGGATGAATATTACGATGGTGATCGGTTTTACTAGATAAGTGAACATTGATCATTAGGACATTAGGTGTTTGTTGATGGAGAGGGTGTTATGCTGCACCTCCGGCATTACAATTATGAATGCTGGGAAAAAGGGTTGGAAGTAAACATGCTATATATTGTGGTTTTGTTTTGTTCTTCGGTTAATTATTAAAGGAGGTTTTACCTTCGTTGATCTCCTGACATATGTTATTGTATATGTTGATGATTAGTGTTTTTCTAATCGGATTATGGATGTGTTTTCCTCTGCAGCAACAAGAGATTCTTCCAATTTGTTGGCACATGAGGCGGCATTTGCATTGGGTCAAATGCAAGATGTGGATGCAATCCCTGCCTTGGTAGCCGTTCTCAATGATCTCTCTTTGCATCCCATTGTTCGTCATGAGGTGAGTTTACGTTGCTCTACTCTGCTTATATTCCTTGTCTTCTTATAATATGTCTCATTATTCTTGTTGCATTTTATGCAGGCAGCAGAAGCTCTTGGTGCAATTGGTTTAGAGAGCAATGTTCCTCTTTTGAAGAATAGTCTAGCACTAGATCCCGCTCAGGAGGTCAAAGAAACTTGTGAATTGGCCCTTAATCGGATTGAGCAATTGAAGGATGCTAATTGTCAATCCAAGGATGAAAAATCACCTTTTATGTCAGTTGATCCTGCTGCACCAGCTACTTCTGGTTCTTCTGTCTATCAGCTAAGGTGTGCCTGGTTATCATCTGCGGCTTAAATTTTTGTCCACTTATTTGAATAAGTTAGATATCTGACTTGTGTTAATTCTTTTAAAGGGAAGTTCTTCTGGATGTAAACAGAAGTATGTATGAGCGCTATGCGGCTCTCTTTGCTCTGCGGAATGTTGGTGGAGATGAAGCTGTCACTGCTATAATTGATTCCTTGGGTTCAAACAGTGCTCTCTTGCGTCACGAGGTTTGTTTATTACCTAATCGAATCATACTGAAAAATTATAAATGTAGACCGGACATGCACACACACACAAGGATGTTTACAGATTAACGTTTCTAATTGCTTTTAGAGTATTGATCAATTAACACCCATGCAAGACAAGAAACTTTTGCACCACTTAACTGATGTAGATTTTTTCAGAAGTCGGTGTCATGTGATCTTCATATCTTCTTTGGTGTGATTTACAGGTTGCTTATGTGTTAGGCCAATTGCAGAACAAAGCTGCTTCGGCCGCTCTTTCCAACATACTTATGAATAGAAATGAGCACCCAATGGTTAGACATGAAGCTGCAGAAGCTCTTGGTTCCATTGCAGGTATGACTGCTATGTTCCCAAATGTATCTGTCTGTAAATAGAGTGGTAGCATATCGACGTTTTGGGGCTATTTAATTGAGTTACTGCTTTGTGTGTAGATGACCAAAGTGTATCACTTCTCGAAGAATTTGCGAGGGATCCTGAACCAATTGTGTCACAGAGTTGTGAAGTTGCTCTAAGCATGCTGGAGTTTGAGAGATCAGGAAAATCCTTCGAGGTATGCATATCAAACTACTGTTTGAAACCAATCAAACTATAGATTTAGTGTATCTTATCAGGAAAACGACTGAAGTCTCCGTTTTGTGTGCAGTACCTCTTCATGCAAGCTCCTCTAGTGCAATAGATAATGACATATAGTTTCCATCACTGGCGCGTTTCATCCATACACCCCGAATAGCTCCAACGGAGGCAGTTCGTCCATGTTGTGCAGCATGGAGTTGGGGAGAAGCAGAAGGAACCAAGTTTTTTACTTGTCCGAACCGAATGAATTAAGCTGTATTGTTATACATGGCTGTTCTAATATTTGGTTACAAAGTTAATTTGGGATTATTGGACCTACACGATCATTAACAAATAAAATCACATTGATATGCGGCATTGCATAGTGTAATATGACGAATGTGAACCTTTTGTTCCTTTCAAGTGCCGCCCACGTGTGAGTGGACGTTCGACATGATGTGAGCGGTTGCCTAAACCATTCACGCGATGGACCGAACCAAGCACAGCTCTTAAATAAAAGGAAGTTTTAACGAAAAGTTTACGGTATTATTTATTTTAACGAAAAATTATATTTTTACATTAAAATGTTAAATGTTGTACTATTTACTTTATTTTTTATTTTGTCCTTATCGTTAAAACTTAAAGTTTTCAAGCCATTTTTATTAGTTTTCATTAAATAAAAAGTATCGACATCTACAGCCGAATTGAATTTGATTGACTTGGTTCCAAAGGAAAAGGATCCTCGTCGAATCTTTTCTAGGAATTCCGTGATCGTGATCGTTTATCGTATATTATACGGTTATAAATCATTTTAAAATTTAAAATTAAATATCAATAGTATTTAACAAAAATTAACGCATAATGTATGATGAATGATCATGATCGTAAGATTCCTAAGAAAAAGATCCAAGATTGACAAAAAGCTTCTTCAGCACGAAGTATTGACTTAAAAAAAAAAAAAAAAAAAAAAAAAACCAATGAAGCTTCTTCAACACGTTGTGATGATTCGGGCCGGGTCGGGTGAAAAAGGGACGGAGCCCTCGGTCAGTTGAAAGCAGACAGACAAGGAGACCGTGTGAAAGCACGTTACTCTTCTTCTTCAAAATCGCACTGCGTCTCACTTCTCAGTTGTAGAGAGAGAAAGAGTGGAGAGAGAGAAAGAGAGAGAGAGAGAGAGAGGAATGGAGAACCCGCAGCCCCAAAAGCCATGGAAGGTGGAGTACGCCAAGTCGTCGAGATCGTCGTGCAAGACCTGCAAATCCCCCATTGAAAAGGAGACGCTCCGCCTCGGCAAGATGGTCCAGGCCACCCAATTCGACGGCTTCATGCCTGTAATTCACTCCCCTTCTCTCTTTAACCCCCATTTCACCTGCACTGTTACTCTCATTGCCATTGGTCCATTGCCAGTAACCCAAAACAGGAAAAAGTTTAAGAAAGAAAACGAGAACCTTGAAAACAGCGATAGTGTGAGAATTTGAGTTTCTAACATTTGGGCTTTTGTTGTTTTTTGTGCATTTCCAATTACTTCGCATGTTTGGTAGTTAAAAGTTGGGTACTTTTAGTTGGGTTTGTTCAACGTTGTTTAGCATTTTAGTTACTGTTATGCAATTGGGAGCTTAAGCTTTGTTTGTTTTGAAGCAAATAATGCTTGTGTTAGTCGTTGGTCGTTAGTCGGACAGTGTTCTTCGGCAGAAAGCCTTTCGAGATTACATAAGGAAATGCTTGTCAGGAAATGTTTTTATTTTTGAGTTTTAGAAAGGAGACAACTTTTACAGCTCTAGTTTAAAGTCGAAACCTGGTTCAAACCATAATCAAGAAAACTTAATTCTATTTCTGCTCGAACAAAATGGATACTTTTGCTCTCTTCGACACCCCTCGTATTTTCTTGTTTGATTTCCTCTAAAGTACTGCATATGTAAATGTTTCGACTTGTTTTTGTTTTCTGAATCAGATGTGGAACCATGCTCATTGTATAATGAAGAAATCGAAGCAGATAAAATCGTACGTGTAGCTGTAGTGTTTATCATAATCTCCTTTGGATTTAGTGGATGAATGCAGTGATTTAACTGATTTGCTTTTGTCTTGCACTTAGAACTGATGAGGTTGAAGGCCTGGAGCTCCTTCGTTGGGAAGATCAGCAGAAAATTAGAAGTTATGTACAAAGTGGTGGACCCCCAGATACAAGACCGGCAACAAGCAAGTTCGCTACTAAAGAATGTGGTATTTCAGTTTCACCAACTTCTCGCGCTACTTGCAAGCAATGCAGCCAAAAGATTTTAAAAGCAGAGGTTGGTAATTATTATTCAGGAAGTAAATTTTTGTATTTGTTGTGTGACAAGCTTTCGTCTCAGTTTATTCATAGAAACCCATCATCATCATATACAAGATACAGCATATTTCTGCAATTCTAGTTAATATGGTGTAACTGAAGTTGACTACTCTGCATGATTTCATTTTATTCCAACTTTAGGTCCGTATATCATCCAAGCCTGAAGGTCAAGGGCCTAGGGGCCTGGCATGGCACCATGCCAACTGCTTCTTGGAATTATCACCATCCATCGAAGTGGAGAAGTTGTCTGGATGGGAGACCCTCCCAGTTTCTGATCAGGACGTTGTACGTGCCTTGGTTAAGAAGGTTCCTTCTAATGCTGGCACAAAACGAAGAAAAGACGCTGGTGATGATCAGAAGTTAAAAGTTGCTAGGTCTGAAGGAGATGTGTCAACGAGCAGGGATGTATCTGTGAGGAATGCTACTGATGTGGGGAGTAAACTGGAGGCCCAAACTAAAGAGCTGTGGGCACTGAAAGATGATCTTAAAAAGCATGTGACAAATGCAGAGATGCGTGAAATGCTTGAAGTCAATAATCAAGATTCAACAGGATCAGAGCTTGATTTGCGTGAGTGCTGGTAATCCTCTACATTCTTCTTAGTGTGGAAATTGGCTATTTTCTTCTCTCTTTAGTTTCTTCTTTTTTTAATTTCACTTTTAAAAAACAGTTTTTTCAATTAAAAAAATTGTTTATCCATAAATGCTTTTATGCATATTCCTTGTTTTGTTAAGGTTCTCATAGGCTTGTTAGATTTTGTTGCCTGATTTGTTTCCGACCCCACTTAGTGGGACAAGGCTTTGTTGTGGTTGTTGTATTTGTTTCCATAATGTAGACCTTTTTTCTGTTTTCTAGACGTAACCAGCTATGCATAAATATATGTGTTAATTGTTATTGGGTAATCATCATTTCTAAGTGGAACATTTTTTTTTTTTAATCTGATTTACTTGAAGATGACATTTTTTTATTGCTGTACTTATTTAGTGCTGATGGAATGATGTTTGGAGCACTTAAGAGCTGCCCACTCTGCTCTGGTTTTCTTCGATATTCTGGAGGTATGTACCGGTGCCAAGGCTACCTATCGGCATGGAGTAAGTGTTCTTACTCTACTCAGGAACCTGAACGTCTTGATGGGAAGTGGAAAATCCCAAAAGATAAGGATAATCATTATCTTAATAAGGTATTCAACTATGGTTAATTTCATGTTGGTTTTGGACCTTTGGTAGACAAGTTATGAATTGAGTTTTATTTATTTATTTATTTTATTTGAAGTGGTTTAAATCACAAAAGCTTGCAAAACCTGTGCGGATACTGCCTCCATTAACACCTAGCAAGCCTTCTGGAAGTCAAGGCCAATCTCAGTCATCTAACAGTACAAGCTTGGCGGATTTAAAAGTTGCCTTTCGTGGATTACCAAAAGAATCAACAGTATGGTCTTTTTTGTTCATTTTAATTTGCATTTAGTTCTTATTATCTGTGGAATTATCTTTTTTCCTTAGTGTCAGTTCTGTCTATCCATCTCATCGAGGGTGATATTGCAGGAAGAATGGTGTAGAAAAATTGAGGGTGTAGCTGGAGTGGTTCATTCAAAGATAAAAAAAGGCATGTGCTTATAATTTTGATTTAGTGCTTTCTTTGGGTTACGGCTGTGTTGGTAAAAGATGCATAACTTTAGTTATTCTTGCTTAACAAATTAAAGTGCAGATACTAATTGCTTAGTTGTGAGTGGAGCATTTGATGATGATGCTGAGATGAGAAAAGCAAGGTTAAGCTGCTATTAAATTGCTGGTCTTGACTCTTGGGTATATTTCTATATCTGTTCCTTTTTATCTAACTGGGTTAGGTTACGTTTTCAGGAGGATGAAGTTACCAATCGTTAGGGAAGACTATCTGGTTGATTGCTTTGAAAGACAGAAGAAGCTTCCATTTGATATTTACAAAGTCGAAGCTCTCCGTGAATCCTCTAGCTTGATCACTGTCAAAGTGAAAGGTCGAAGTGCTGTTCATGAATCTTCTGGTCTGCAAGATACAGGACATATTCTTGAGGATGGGAAGAGCATCTACAACACAACTTTAAGCATGTCTGATTTGTCAACTGGTGTTAACAGGTGTGTTCGGTTTATTCTATCTTTCTTGCTCACATATTTGAGCCTATTATCTCTCAATAAAAATTCACAATATGCGATATAAATTCTTCTGTATAACCCTCTCTTGCTGTCTCTCTTTTCTATGTAAAGTTACTACATTCTCCAAATTATACAAGATGATAAGAGTTCAGACTGTTCTGTGTTCCGTAAATGGGGAAGAGTGGGGAATGATAAAATTGGAGGAAGTAAACTGGAAGATATGTCGAAATCAGATGCGATCCATGAATTTAAACGTTTGTTCCTTGAGAAGACTGGGAATCCGTGGGAAGCATGGGAGCAAAAACAAAATTTTCAGAAGCAAGCTGGAAGATTCTTTCCATTGGATATTGTACTTCTTGTTCTTTTCTTTCTTGTATATTTTCCTGAACTCTGTTTTTTGTTCTTAAATAATATCTGACTAAAACTTGGATTTTTCAGGATTATGGAGTTAATAAACAGGTTTCCAACAAAAACCAGAACAATGCAGACAGCAAATTGGCTCCTCAGTTGGCAGAATTGATGAAGATGCTTTTCAATGTTGAAACATACAGGTTAAACAAGTTCATTTCTTTAAATGTTTGTCTCTCCCCCACTCCGTCTTTTTATTTATCTGTAACTCTGAGACTGAGTACTAAGTTTTGCAGAGCTGCCATGATGGAATTTGAGATAAATATGTCAGAAATGCCGCTTGGAAAACTGAGTAAAGCCAACATCCAAAAGGGTAAACATTGAAAAGAGAATCTCTTCAATTTTCTGCAGAGCTCAAATTTAAACTGTTCTATATTCAAATTTAATTTCTAGCTGTTTGGATAATAAAGTATTGTCGTTTAACTTCGTCATTTCCTGTTCTCTCTGTTCAGGGTTTGAGGCATTAACGGAAATACAGAATTTATTGAATAATAATGGTCATGCTCCTTCCACAAAAGAAAGCTTGATTATAGATGCAAGCAACCGTTTTTTCACTGTGATCCCTTCCATACACCCACGGGTTATCAGGGATGAGGATAATTTTAAGTCAAAGGTACATAAGGATGTTTTGCATATGCTCAACCCAGTGGTTTCCTTCATGCCTTTCCAATACCAAAAAGATGGTTTTTCTGCTCCTATATTTCATATGCATGTATTTAAATGATGTCATTGAGTTTTTTTTGTTGATGATACCAATCTCTTCCATGATGGGTTGCTTATATTAATTTTTATGATAGCACTTTAATATTAAATGTTTCATAGTACAAATTTATCTTTATAACCATGATTATTTTGATAAGTTATTTACTTCAAAATATGTGATTTTGGTATGAAAATATATTTAAAGTTTCATTACTTATCATACGTTAAAAGATGAACTCATGGAAAAAGAAAAAGTTCATGTAAATGGTGGGAAAGTGGAGTTACTGCTGCTATGTTCACATTGCAACTGATATTGGCAAGTTCACATACTTACAAGCAAGGGATAAAATGTGCCTTCATTTATCCTTGGCAGGTGAAAATGTTAGAAGCTCTCCAGGACATTGAAATTGCTTCCAGATTAGTTGGTTTTGATGCTGATAGTGATGATTCCCTTGATGAGAAGTATAAGAAGCTCCAGTGTGATATTGACCCAATCCCTCATGATAGTGAAGATTATCAGTTGATTGAAAAATATCTTCTTACTACTCATGCCCCTACACATACGGTGGGTTTCCATCTTGATACTCTCGAGTTCTGAGCATGCTGTGCTGGTGACCTATCTTTATATACTCAATATTTAATATTGATTTATTCCCTAAATCTTGTGTCTGGCATCTTATTTTATTATCAGGATTGGAGTCTTGAACTCGAAGAAGTTTTTGCACTTGAAAGGGAAGGCGAATTCAATAAATTTGCTCCCTATCAGAAAAAGCTTAAGAACAAAATGCTTCTTTGGCATGGTAAGTTGCACCACCTATAAAATTTAATGTAATAAAATTTTTGTGTTGTGAGATGGGATCGCCTATAGTTGCTTGCAATCTTTCTCTTGCCAAGGTTGATAGAAATGTGCTTTTAAATGTAATTTCAGACCTATAACCAACATTAGGAATAAAACTGATTACTTTATCCTCCCAGGTTCTCGGTTTACAAATTTCGTGGGTATACTTAGCCAAGGACTGAGAATAGCTCCTCCTGAAGCTCCAGCTACTGGTTATATGGTCTCTCTCTCTCTCTCTTGCACATTTATGTCTATATATGTATTACGCGTCTCTTCATGTGCATAGCAGTAGTGTATTATTTTTTTTTCCGCAAGACTAAGAGTGTAAACATTTTGCATTACAGTTCGGCAAGGGAATTTACTTTGCTGACCTTGTCAGCAAGAGTGCACAGTATTGCTATACAGATAAGAAAAATCCTGTTGGCCTCATGCTTTTAAGTGAAGTTGCATTGGGGGAGGTCTACGAGCTTAAGAAGGCTGCAGTGAGGACATTTTCCATTATCTTCTTATGTGCTTTGATTGTGTGTTTTGATATTCTATCTGAAATTTAACATTGTGTGTCCACTCATTCGAGCCCGTGGTATATACTTGCCATGTGTAACTTAAGCAGTAGTTTGTGGTGGTTCTTGTGCATCCTAAAAATATCTAATTTTGGTGTCTGGAGCCAAAAAATAGCCATTTCTGATTTGAGTTTTGCCCATTAACTTAGTGTTTATGCCACGATCTTTCAGTATATGGACAAACCTCCAAAGGGAAAGCACTCTACAAAGGGGCTTGGCAAGAAAATACCTCAGGAGTCGGAGTATGTAAAATGGAAGGACGATGTCATCGTGCCTTGTGGCAAACCAGTGCCATCAAATATCAAAGCTTCTGAGCTCATGTATAACGAGTACATCGTTTATGATACAGCTCAAGTAAGTTCTAAGCTTTGTTTTTGTTATCTCTGGCACGTGCCACTTTTGATACTATTTTCACTTCTTGTGCTGATTTAAACAAATAGTATAGAAGTAAAACTACAACTGTAGTTTTACAGTTTTTAGGAACATAGTAACTTTACCGGGCAATGACATGTGGACAGGTGAAGATGCAATACCTGTTGAAGGTGAGGTTTCATCACAAGAGGTGACGGAGACGTATTGATGTTCAGTATTTTGGCTGCGGTGTACAGTAAGGTGGTGGTTTGCTAAGAAACTCACACGATGTTGATGTTGGATGTTTATAGCGGTAAGGTCTATTTTGGGGATTTGTGTGAGATCTTTGAACTTTTGCTTCCGGCATTGTAAAGAATGTTTTTATGCTATGGAATCAAATCCTCTTCGGACATTTTGTTCACTTTTGCTATATGTTATCAATGAGGATGTCATCGTTCTACCTTCTTTCCCCACGATATCCACAATCTTTCTATAGCAAAAAATGCCTAGTGTTTGAGACCAACTTACGTGAAACAGATTTACTGTCATTGTGGCGTCTCGGTCCAATATTGAGACACTGGATGGACATGTTGCAATCCAGCAGGCAACTGGAGCATCTAACTGGGCTGGGGTATCAGACCAAAAAACAACTGGACTGGGACCAAAGGGAAAAATTAGAAAGAAAGATGGACTGCTTCTAAACGTAAATGTCAAACCATTCCCAATTGGACTACAACTTGGTGTAAGTTGGTTTTCTTTTGGAGAAAGACTTACCAACAGACAATCTGTCAACCTGGCACTCAAACAATGGTACACAACAATGGTATAAAGGTAATGTGTTCTCACTTTTCCACATAACATTGTTTCATTGATTAATTGTTTCAAGGTGTAGAATCATCATTTAGAGTTTAGACTTTATGGTTCTAGTCTTGGATTGGATAATCTCTTCGGTTTTAGTTTAGTATAGAATAATGTAGAATATCGCTTGTACTAAAAGAGAAAATGAACACATGAGATATAGATATTTTTTTTTGGGTAATCTAAATGCTTTGTAACGGTAAAAAGAAATAAACTACGACCCAAAGAAGAGAAAATCGTAACCGATGTGGGATCTTGCAAACAGCTTTGCATGTGTGCCATGTGCTTTGATGATGATCAAAATTTGACTCCAACTGAATGTTAAGCTAAGCTGCCAACGTCATGTGTGAATGGATAGGAATTTTTTCTTTATATATTACACATTTTGCATATTAATATACTACCGATCGTCCATTCACATTCATATGTTTTCATATTAAAATACCACCGATCGTTCATCCATTCATTCATGTGCTCAAGTGCTTTCGTGGTAAGAGCTTGTCCAGTAAGCTGATCTGCATGCAGAAGCAGAAGCTGAAAGCTGAGCTCAGAAGCATGAATCTGTGACATGGGAGTGTAGCTTTTGTTGCAAACAGCCATTTTCCTCTGTTAGGATGACGACCCTTCTCATTCATTTGAGTTGAAACCTCTTCTCATGCACCAAAAACATTTTATATATGCACCCAAAGGAGGTGGCAGGTCAAAGTAACTCAGACCTCACTGAAGCACCTGTTCTATGATTCATATCCATGCATTCATTCATAGAACTTTCCCTTGGCATAAATTGGGTCATATATATACTTGGATTGACCAAGTTCCATTTTAGGTTGGTAATTGTGTCTTGTAAGTGACTCATACTAGTTGAAGCCAAGACTAGGGTTTTTGCCCTAATCGACCGACACGTTGAGAAAATCTCATTTTTACTCATTTTTCTTCAAGTTTGATTGCCTAGTGTTGGTATTGAAATCACCATTGAAAGCTTAAACTTGAGAGTTTACAGTCTAATATTTATTAATTGCTTAGATATAAGATTTTAAAGCGCCAAAATATGAAACTTAACCTCAAAAAATCCATTTTTTACACGTCAATCCTTTGAACAAAACGAATCTCCTAAAAATATCTCTAAAGAGACGTTACTTGTTAGTTGATGCTAACTGAACTAGGTTTTTTTCCCTAAGTAGCAAAGTGTCTGGACTGCAGCAACAAGATCGGTAAAAAAATCCCCAATTTTGCAGTTCTTGTGGTTCAAGTTGAGGCATTTAATTTGTGTCGGGTGAGATTTTGTGAAAACGATGGCCTTATTGAAACCACTTTTGACTAATTTTCCTTTTTGTCTGATGTGAACAATGGTGTGTTGCATAACGCACGAGGATAACACAACTGCACTCACTCACTTCATTATAGACTTCTAGCTCAAATTTTCAGCTACAAGAAAGCACCAGCCTCATCATTTTCTGACTACCTGACCAATTTCCAAAATCTCGACCAAATCGGAAAAACCAAATCACAACGGGTTGCATTTTCGTGTCTGTCTCACTAATTAAGTTTTTAATCACGTGACGAATGAAATAGAGACGTGCATGATGTACCGTCAGAGATAAAAGTTCTCCTAATTACAAACAGAAAAACCAAACCAAAGCAACGCAGCACCAATTTTCTTCACCAAGTTGGAGAATTGGGGTGTTGAGCTTGAACAACATGACTGACTAATTAGAGAAATATCGTACGTATTGAATAATGAAACCCTATTTAAACCATATTGCTCAAGGTAACTGAATCATTAGTAATTGTCGGTAGAAAAATATACCAGAAGAGCTGTGGCAAGTAGCAGTGAGTGAACCACAATGTCACAAAACGACAATTTGCAGCAGTTCCCAGGTGCGGCGCCGTTCGGCGGAAAATATAAACTTATTCAAACCCTAAAATCAAACTTTGCCATTAAAAATTTACTAATCAAACTCAGTAGCCATTAATCATCCACACTGGAAAAAATATAAAGAAAAAAAATAATTGTGTTACAAATAAGATGAAGGCTTCCAAAAAAAAAAAAATGTAGTCCCCACTATATTACATAAACCATTAAAGATTGTCCCCTTAGAACCCTACATACAGACCTTCCTTTGTCCCCCGTTCATTTCTTATAAGACTCCCCCTTTTATGTTTCTCAATGCCCCACTTTCCTCCTCCAACTTCATCACCATTTCCTAGTGTGCTCGTGTGCCTAAATTCTCATTATTTTTACTCTCTTTTTTCACCAATTTTAGTCTCTCTCTCTCTTTCGCTCGGATCTCTTTGTTTGTCTACCAAAAATGGCTTCTGGGGGTGCTGGCAGCGCTGGGACTGGCACTGGGTCTCCTTGTGGGGCATGCAAGTTTCTGAGGAGAAAGTGTGCTTCTGATTGCATATTTGCACCTTATTTTTGCTCCGAGCAAGGACCTGCTCGTTTTGCTGCCATTCACAAAGTGTTTGGCGCCAGCAATGTGTCCAAGTTGTTGTTGCATGTTCCTGCTCATGATCGTTGTGAAGCTGTTGTCACAATTGCCTATGAAGCTCAAGCAAGAATTCGGGACCCCGTTTATGGATGCGTGGCTCACATTTTTTCCTTGCAACAACAGGTGATTAATTAAACTCACCCTTCTCTTTTATCTGTTGAATACTGAGCTAACCCTTTTATTTTGAGGTTGAATTAGCCAACCCTCATAAATCCTTTCCTCTTTTTGTTGAATTAAGATAACCCTTTTCTATTTTCCGTTGAATTAAGCAACTGCTTTCTCTTTAGGTTGAATTAAGCCAATCCTTTTGTTTTTAGGCTGAAATAAGCAAACCCCTTTTGGTTTTAGGTTCAAATAAGCAAACCCTTTTCGGTTTTAGGTTGAAATAAGCCAACCCTTTTGTTGTTAGGTTGAATTAACCAAACTCTTTTCATATCATTGTCTAAAAGTTAGTATTCATATGTAGGTGGCATGTTTGCAAGCACAATTGATGCAAGTAAAGGCTCAACTGGCTCACCAAAACCTCATTGATTCAAGGAACATGGAGAGTACTCAGTGGCAGGGGAATGTGAATGGATCAGTCTCAAGCTTTCCAAGTTATCCGAGCTACGTGAATCCTATTTCACCTCAGAGCTCGCTGGACTCCATGGACCCCAACAGTGATATTGCCATGCATATGCAGGAAATTCAAAGCAGCAGAGAGTTCTCGTATCAAGGTTGTTCTATAAAGAGACCATATAATGGTGACTTGGGAGAGCTTCAAGCTTTGGCCCTCAGAATGATGAGAAACTGATCAATCCCTACATCATGTTTTGTTTCAACGATATGACGGTGGCCTTTCAGACGTTTCTGTGACCAATGATGTATATACTGAGCCTGTTTTTTTTGTTTTTTGTTTTCTTTCAAGAAAAAGAAATTAGTCCCATTAATCATATAGTCTCTCTCTCTCTCTCTCTCTATATATATATATATATATGATAGGAGAGATTTTTCAATGTAACCGGTACACGGAATGGTACACCACGTGTCATTGTACAAATGGTGGGATATGTGTGCTAAAAAGTTAATAACTTAAAAAATGAAATTTCCTACTACTTCTAAAACACGTGGTGTACCACTTGTGTTTCCGTCACAATGAAAAAATTTCTCCTCTGATATCTCACTAAAAATATTACTGCAGTTGCATAAATTACTGGGCTAATCTAAATAATCAACTTTAATCTTATGAAGATAATGTAGTTTTTACTGAGGGGCAATAATAGAATACACCACATTGAGGTAAATTAATCTTGAAATCTGAGTCCTCTTGAATTGTTAATTACCTCATTTACTTATCAAATTCAACAATGAAGACGTTCGGCCCGGCTTACAACTTTAGTGATGGGGCATTATTTCATGCCACCTTCAAGTAAAAAGTTTAACTATTGTCCTCCCCCTCCATTTAATACAAAAGATGATACTTTGGGACACTCTGGCATTCAACCATCTAAATAATTGACCAATTTTTCATGGATTTAGCTAAGATTCAAGCACTCTTGGTGTTGTCCCATTTTTCAAAAACAAGAAATTCTATATATGTACAAACTTTCGCCTGAAGTTGCTTCTAGATACAAATGGTGTCTATTCTATTAATTATATATATGATATTTGGATTGACATGCAAAGGCATGTAAAGGAGAACACCTACACCTCTGGAAATCCCATGATTAGTTTAATCTTTTTCCTTATTAACCAAGATTGTTGGTCCAGCTGTCCCCTTTTTTTAAACTTTTTTTTACTATTATTAGGAGAAAGAAGAGATTTTGAAACTATTATAATAATTTAAGGGTTGGGGAAGTTTCGAATCCAGAACGCATGAGTGGAAACCCAACACCTTATCTGCTAAAATATTGAATCACATGCATTGGTCCAGCTGTCAGTCATCACCAAAAACAAAATTAAATAAATAAATCATCCATCCTAATGTACCATGTTTCTTATTTTATAACTAATTAAATTAAACTTACCAACTTAATTAAGCAGCTTTAATTCTTTATACTGAAGTATACTCCTAGCTAACAAAACTACAAAGTGTTTCACTGGGATATACATCCCCGAGGAGCTAGGGTTTGACATGATGAGTTTGCTTTGAAATCTATCATCTCCTAAAGGTGGTGTGATTAATTAGGGGAAGATCAAGAGAATGTTATCATTGTAGTTAAAGTGCAAACACACTCTTGAGCTTTGAGATGATAATACTTAATGGCCCCACTTTGCTGGCTTAAGGTTTTTGTTATAATAAGTAGGTTCACCTAACATTAGTATACTAATCCAAATTTAATATTCTCAAACCTATGATTTTGTATTCCTATATATAGACAAAGTGTCCCCTTGATTGAATCCACAAACCTGCATCATTAGTTAGTACATTGGCAACTTTAGGTTTGTCAAACCAATTAACCAAATTGTTTCTCCAAAATCTTGTAATTACAAAGAAGATTAAGACATATTAATCTTATTTGAAACAAGTTATAAGAAGAAAAAAGGGTTCATTGGGAAGAATAAATAATAGTAGTGAAGCCGCATTAAGTGAAAATTAATCAATTTTTATTTCTTCGGGCCCATAACTGTAGCGTATACACTAAATTTGTAGTCAGTCCAGTCAAGTGGCCTGTAACCACTTTCACACTATCTTTTGCCTCTTTGGCATTAAACAATTGCATTGTGTGAAAATAATGGAAAATGCACCTATAAAAACATATGTTCATCGACCTCTCCGCTCCATCAATTGCAATTACAGGGCTTGTTTGATGGACCGGTTGGAATATGTTGTGACTAATTAAAATTGATTCGAGTTCATCTTTTGTTTGTTGTGTCAAATATGATGAATCCACACTAGAATAAGTTATCTAACATGTCCTTATACATGGTTACAACTTACTAATCTTGTCTTACATGTCCTTGCCAATTTCATTTCTAATGCTCAATCACATCTAGCCAACCAAACCACTTAGAAAGTAAATGTTCCACAAAACATTAATTAAAAAAAGGGAGATGAGCGACCATTGAATGGGAGTACTTCAAATAAACAAAGCTATTACGACAAATGTGAATTGAAAAACAAAAATAGAAGACATGAAGAATTGAACTTGGGTAGAAAATATAAAGAAAACTAAGAGCTTCAAAAGTAGTTTGGTCTATTTTCCTTGGCATAGTCTTTTCTTAAAAGAAAAGGAGATGAAGAAAGGTTTGCTATGTGTTTGAATCTTTGGACTTTTACAAATGCTTCCCAAACACTACGTTTCTTTTTAATTTTGCTCATATATTTCATGTAAAACCCCGTCCCAAAATATTTAATTTCGTTTTAATAGAAATAATGAAATTACGATCTTGTCTCCTATCCTTACCCAATATGGTTTCCTTTTTAGATTTTCTCTCAAGTTCTCCTGCTCTCTCTGCTTGGCACGTGGCAGACCCCCACCTTTTTCCTTCCTTCTCCCTCCTTCTCCCTTAAGTCAACTCTCAACTCACTCTCTCTCTCTCTCTTTCTCATTATTCTCTCCTTCCCGGTGACAGACCCCAAACACCCACACCCGAGGAAACACGATAGCACCACCATCACTGTGGTGGATCTTCTCTCCCTCTCCATCGTCTCTGTGAAGCACAGAGAAACCGAGAACCCATGTCCGGTGAACCTGTTGTGTTCGAGCCCAGAATCCGGCCAACTCCAGCCACTTCACGGTGTATTGCAGGTACAAATCTCTTCTCCTCCCTCATATCTTCATTTTAGTAAGAGGATCGTAGAGTAGAACAGTGAGACGGTGTCGACCAGAGCTCGAGAGGCTCTGGCTTTCATTCTCGACGAAACCGGGTCATTTTGAACCAAACCCGGAAAGCCAAAACCCCAAACCCATTTAACCCAGGCCCTTAGGGCCGCGCCAGCTCGAGCCTTTGGCTCGCTAAACCCTCGGCCTAAACCCCTTAAAGCTAACCCATTGGGTCGTGCTAGCTAGGGCCCTTGACCCGTTTAACCCTAAGCCCAACCTACTAAACCCCTAAAAACCCTAGGCCGAACCCTTGGACCCCAGGTTTTTGGGTCATGAAAACCCAAGCCTTCGGCCCGTTGACCTTAGGCCCATGAGGTCTAAACCCTTTAAGACTAGAAACCCTTGGCCCCAAGCCAGTAGGCCGCGCATAGGCATGCGTGGAGCACACACGCCACCAATGACTTTTCGGGCAACCCACGGTGGCGCGTAAGGGTGTGTGTCGGGCATGTGGAGGTACCCAAGGACCCCTTTTATGTTTTTCGACATCCAGAATCCACTTATGATGTTCGTTTCCCGAAATTCAATCATTATGATATAGTTTTGTTAATTGGACCCCTTATGTGCTTAGGTGCGATTATTAGTGGCGATTCCGTTCTTCCTATTTCACACGACTCTTCGACGACGAAGTATCTGTGAGTGAACCCCTTCTAAAATGCATGTTTTAATAGTATAAATGCATACATGAAAAGCATGATTTAATGGTTATGTTTTACGAAGTGTTTATGAGTAAATTAGTTTTACACTTTATGATTATCATGCTTTACTGAGAATATTTTGGAATACCATACTTTATCAAATTTATGTTCTTTGTAGTATATATGATGGATGACTATATACTACTTATGAACATGTTTTTACACTCTTGGTAGTATATATGATGGATGATTATATACTATGAAGATGTTTTGAGATATATGTACGTATGTTGGAAAGATTATATTCAATGTTTTGTGTTTATCTAGTGGTCATTGTTCTACCTACAGGCGATGAGACTTATTGGTCTACGGGTCGGGTGATGTAGGGGCCTACGGGTTGGAAGATATTATATTAGCCTACGGGTCGGGTGATGTAAGGGCCTACGGGTCAGAAGATATATTATATTTGGCCTAGGGTCGAGTGATGTAGGGGCCTACGGGTCAATTATGATAGCACTATATAGCACACTATATATGATATATGTTTTATGAAAGGTTTTATGACATGCTAGGGTTTCCAAAAAAACCTATCACATATTATGCTATTAGTTTTCATAAAACTTTGAGGTTAGGATGTTATTGAATAACTGTTTCAGTATTATATATGTATATATATATATATCAACTTGGTCCACTCATGTTTGTTTTGCGCCCCCTAAGGACATAGGAACAAGGCTTACGATATGAGCTACGAGGCATTCCTCTACCAGTGATTTCATACTATCCTCTTTGACTTGACATTATTTGTAATAGCACATTCCACTCGTATTTTGAATTAGATGTATGCTCTAAACATGTCATGCATTATCGCTATGTTTTCATTGTTGGCAGTTGAATAATATTATATTATTTTAGTAGCTTATATTTGAATATTACTTTGCATAGTTACGCATGAAATTTATATGAATGTTTCACATGTTCTCGGTATATGCATTCATTAAATGGCTTACGTCACCCTCAGGTGTCGCCCAGCATGTGGCCATCCTGATATCCCTCGAACATTGGGATCGGGGCATGTCAGATTGGTATCAGAGCATACTTAGGACTTCATTATTCCATTTGGTAATCATAATCTTTCTTGTGGCCATAATCTTTCGTTCTTCTAAATCTTATTTGCCTCTTATCAGAATTATGGATCATCATGGTGAGAATGTACCTCGGCGACCTCGTTCTGGTCTAATGAGAGAAATTCAACAATTAACCTCCATTTTACGGAATGGTTTTCCTCGTAGTAGCAGGCCGAGTTGTAAATATATGGAGATTGCTCATAGCCATGGTGTTACGGAACTTAAGGTAGTTGGAGCCTGTGAGAAAGTTAAGGATTGGTTAGAAAAGATGGAGGATACCTTAGAGAGCATGAGATGCCCAACGTCTGAATGGGCGAATACCGCTGGTTACTTCCTTTAGGAGGACGCGAGGTTTTGGTGG